TGTCATTTTAGATTACAAACGGGGAATTGACAGCCTCGAACCCTTCGAGGCTGTCAATTTCCGGTTTGTAATCTAAAATGACTGAAAATTGCAAATTTCGCAAGGCTATATTTTCCGCATTTTACAACATTTTGCAACGAAACTTTGGAATATTACTAATTTTGTGATGCTCTTCAAGCTGTGATGAATTTTTTGTTGAGATCAAAATATAGTCTATTACGCAAATGGTCAATTCCGCTCCGCGCGCAAAATTCCGCCTAGTGGAAAGCAGGCTTAACTCAATTCTACGAGGATGACGCATCAGCGAAAACAACCCACATTATTTTCCGCATATGAAGCATTTCTACGTTTTATCATAGTTAATAAAATAGAATTTTATTTCGATCACGGTGAATTGAGCAAGAGAGTGTGACGTAGGTTAGTGCCTTGTTTCGAAAGTAGCGTTACTGTGGTAGTCTATGACGCATTAGCGGAAGTAAACCCACATTATCCGCATATGAAGCATTTCACCTTTCTACACTTTAGCTCAATCACGGTGAAGAGTTATGACGTAGGCTAGTGCCTTGTTTCGTACACAGTAGCGTTACTGTGGTAGTCTATGACGCATTAGCGGAAGTAAACCCACATTATCCGCATATAAAGCATTTCACCTTTCTACACTTTAGCTCAGTCACGGTGAAGAGTTATGACGTAGGCTAGTGCCTTGTTTCGTACACAGTAGCGTTACTGTGGTAGTCTATGACGCATTAGCGAAAGTAACCCACATTATTTTCCGCATGTGATTTTCAGTTTCTACCAGTGAAGTATTCTGCATTATGAAACATTTCCATGACGTAGGCTAGTGCCTTGTTTCGTACACAGTAGCGTTACTGTGGTAGTCTATGACGCATTAGCGAAAGTAACCCACATTATTTTCCGCATGTGATTTTTTTTACCAGTGAAGTATTCTGCATTATGAAACATTTCCATGACGTAGGATAGCGCCTTGTTGCTACCCACATTATTTCCGCATGTGAAGCATTTCTGCCATATCATGTTACTGCTGTCCAAAGTGTAAAGTTATCTACCGTTTCAAAATGTCGTGTTGTACGAATCTTTGACAATATACATTGCCATTGGAACAATCTAGTTTTCACATGCATTCAGATGTATGATACCATTTCTTGATACATTTTTTCAACCGTCCCTCCAACCAGACATCAGATTTTTGTCGGCCCAACATTGAACTGGGGGAACGGGGGGCGCTACGTCTTTCAAATTGTGTGAAATTACAGCATATATGTCCCATAGTTTTTCAAAGATTGTAGATATTTCTATTGCTTTTTAACTTGTAGTCTTGTATGTCAGTACGTAATGGACTTCTAACGTGTTATTCATGGTTATGTTTAATTCCGCTGCGGCAGACTCCGTGTCCCAAACTGTAAATGTGTTTTATTAAGGCAAATTAGTTCCTTGATTAGTAAGGCTGGGAAATACCTATATAGGGTGACATACTACACTTGTTGTACCCCACATACAACCCTAATTTGGACTTCGACTTGTATCTACAACACTGCGCCACGTTTCGTGTGAAAATCCTGCTCCACAATTAGAGCGTTTGTAAATGTGATCAGGCAAGGTCGGTCAACTTAAACGCCCACGTCTTCACTACGTTGTTTACATGTTTGGGGTGCAAGTGGGCAGTAACACGTGCGGCTTAAACACGAAACAATTTGACATTTCACCAACCACAGTTAATGACTTTACTTATCTGGAAATATCTAGAATATATAGACTTCAATAGTGCTCAAATAAAGTTGAGTACGTAAGTCTAGACCTTTCTGTGACACAGGCTAGGTTAAATCCGAGTTTATTTAATGTTTTAAAACGTGCACTTGTAAAGTAACTACAAAATGGACAATTAAAAAGTCCAGGTCCCAAGGTACGTAATTCGATCTTAGAATTAAGTCCTTACGTCATGTCGGCTGTCGAACTTTGAACATTTGACCCACGTGTATCCCACATTGCATTGCGTATACCTAATGTTGAGATGGATTGAAAATTGCGTGACGTAAATACTTCAAGGTGTTACTCTCGATTTCAATTTGCTTTTCAAAACTGACTTCCAATGTTTACTTGTAAATTCGGAATGTTCGTTGTAAAGTTCCGAAGTTTGTTTCGAAGTTAGCCTAGCGATTTGATTGGCTGGTTCACTTAACTAGCCAATTACAACTTACTAAACTTGATTATCGTAAATCATCGGAACAAATTTCGAAACAAACTTCGGAACTTTACAACGAACATTCCGAATTTACAAGTAAACATTGGAAGTCAGTTTTGAAAAGCAAATTGAAATCGAGAGTAATTGCTACCAATATCCTCGTGTAGTTTCACCCACAAATCTACGCGATCTTGACCCAAAAATTTTATGGTGTACTTTCAAATCAAGCGTGTGGTATAGCCCCTTTAACATAACGGCCATCTGGTCGTTTCCAGTTCCTTCGCCTGATGAAAATGAAAGAAAGATTTGCATTTGAGACATGTCATCCCGCTGTGATCTTCAATGAAGTCAGTGACTCACAAACTTAAATTAAACAAAAAATATTTATGCATACTATTTGGTACGTGGCTGTTTCGACGGTATACTTTGCAAAAGAAAAGATGCATATATATATATATATATATATACAGTGGAACCCCAGGCCACCCTATTAATACGGTCTCTTTATTATTACGGCCTCTTATTTGTCCCCGGAAAACGCCAAGACAACACATTTTCTTATAAACATACCCCGTTAATACGACTACCGTACCACGGCCTAAATTTTTCGGCCTGACCTTGCATGGCCGTATTAACCGTGTTCCATTGTACATATTTTGCTAAGTTTGGCCGTAACTAAGACACCTTTCATTACGAGCTATTCTGGGTACATTCTGACACTAATCCTCTTAATTGGTGCTTACTCAAATATTCTATCTGTTTAAATATGCAAAAAGGAACTCGGATAACTCGGATATGACCTCAGACTCACAAGTCGCTTCGCCGTGAGTCGTGACGTTCGTATTCGACCCACGCTAACTCGTAAATGTTGTCAAGGAACAACGAATTGGAAATCACATCCCTAGACCCTAATCAAATATCAAATTCTGGTTGGATAATCACAGCCGGTAACGCAGTGTTACTGGATTGAAACATTTCGTGCAGCGTTTTATATAGAGTATACTAATCGTGCAATATAATTATTGTGTTTACCGAGCTAATGGAAGGCTCGAGGGAAGGCTCGGCGTCCAGCCCTAACAGACGGGCTATAACTCTACAATGTGGTGTGTTTCGTGAAACTACTATTTTCGAAGAACAAGTGTTGTCCGTTTTCCAAGAGCTTGTGTATTTCTTTCTGGTTAATCAGGTATTTATGTGTGTTCGTGTGTTATGCTGTTTGTTAGCCAATATTTTGTTGAATTGTTTGTGAAATGCCTGAACAATTGGGGTAAATGTTCACCGGTAATTTGTATCATTGTTAGTTTTACCCATCTTACGGATCTTCTAAATGCGACTATGTTGCGAGTAACAAGAATTACCATTACATAACGGTTTATAGCTGTCATTCTTGTAGTCCTAGGATACATAGAGTCGCTTCATGCTTAATTACTGTCCTTTTAAATTAAAAACGAAGTTAACGAGCCGGGAAACTGCCATCACCTGTTGTGCGATATAACAAACAAGCTGAAATTTACTGTATACACACTAAGCATGTATTTGAGCATGTATCTGATAAACCGCAAACTAGAGACGGAACCATTGATAACATGCGCTAAGCCTAAGAACCCAGTCAATATATCAAGGAATTTCCTATTTAATCTGTCTTAGCCTCTTAGTATAGGTAAATATTCACTTCATATTCACACACATTATATAAAATATACCTATTTTAATGAATTCTTTGCACGGATGATATCAGACGAAGAAGCCAGGGAAAGCTTTGTCTTATCATAAAATAAATAAACGTGGCGGCTTGTTTTCCACAAAAAAGACAAATTATTCGAATGAATCAGTTATATAGAATATGTGGCCGGGAAATCTATATCAGTGGCATATATTGGCAATATTATATTTAGATTTTAGGTTATACCCGAAAGTGTTGCATTAAAACTAAAAGGTTTTAGACATTTGGCAGTTTTGTGGCTTAATGAATAATGGACTTTTTTTAAAGGTGTCATAATCCAGTAAACTTTCAGTTGTTACTATGCGACTGAGTGCACGGAAAGTCAAAAAAGATAAATAAAATGTTGGAACAAAAAATTTGCATTCCTTCTGTAAATATCAGCCTAGTTTATAAAAAGGTGCTTTTTCACCAAAACTCAAAAGGATACGACCGCTTCAGCAACATGAACTATTTCAAAACTTTACAAGAGAAAAAGGGTTCCATCAACTCCGTTTCATGAACTGTTTTATTGTTTTCCCTTTTGAGTTTTCCCTTTTGAATTTATTCTATTCTCAATATATTTACTGACTCGCCTCACAGGATGAAAAAATCGACGTCCGAAGCTTAGTAACGGATACGCTTTGATATATATCATTACTCAGTAGTTTTTGAGTCGCAATTGCAAAAGGAAGAATATCTTCACTTTGTTTAATTTATACATCTACTCCAATATTCAGAATAATGATGCTTCATATTAATAAAAGATACATGTCATTATCAGTTAGAGACGAAACATCAGCTTTGTTTAGGATTGTTCAAAGTTGTTAGCATGCCTAGCCGGCCCTCATTTGTAATGTGAGGAAGTTCAAAGTTGGCATCCGGCCTTGTACGAGTTGCGGTTAAGTTTGGTCACGCAAATCTTTC